TATATTATGTTATGTTACATTATATTGTATTGTAGTTTCTTATTATGTTATATTTCATTTTATCATATCAAATATTTTTCATATGTCATATTTTATAATACTATATCATATTATATTATGTTATATTATATACATCACATTATACTCTTTAATATATATTATATTGTGTTTCATTGCATTGCATTATATTAGAGTGGGTTCTTTTTTATTCTGTTATACCAAATTATACCATATCATATCATTTCGTTTAATTTTAGATTATATAATCTTTTCACTCCATCATATCAGATCATATCCTGTTATGTTATATTATATTTTGCTATATCATATTATACTATATTATATCATATTGTCCCATACTTTATTATAGTTTATCATATTATGTTTATATATATATACACACACATGCTCTCTGGAGCCGTTGCTCTGTCGGTCTCTAACCGTCGTGTTGTAACCCACTACTACGACACAGGTGACGTGCGGTAGCACAGTACCCCCTCTTCAGCAGTAGTTTTAGCTCATTGTTCGGAAGATCCTGCATTTTATCACTGGCTCCGCCCAAGGAATATGTGCATGATGGTCGCCCTTAGCTGGCCCGTCTTCATCATGAGAACTGGCGGCAGCCCCATTCTCTTTTCGCCATTGAAGCTGAAGCCCCAGTACATGGTGTGCCTTGGTTCCGGCCAGAAAGTTTCATACTCTGTTACACAAGAAATATCGCTTCACTAGCCTGTAGCGCGCTGTGGGGCCTTTTCCCGATGTTTGTGGCTCTTGTAATTTGCGGGGGTCTGTGCTCCTTTTTCAGGCAATTGTGCTAGATTGCTGCAATGAGGTTGTATGACGTACAGTTTGAATCGACTTGTAGTGTAGACCCCGATTCATGAAACCCCCTTTCTGTAAGGCCTTGAATCATGGAGCCATATGGAACCCCTGATATCTGCGGTTGTAAGCAGCAGTCCAGACTATCGTTTGCCGTTTGCAGATGTATACCGTATAATTAGCAGTATAGGACCCACTTCCAAGGCACCTTGTGGCTTTCCGAAGAGTTTGGGTTTCGGGTTTAGGGGCCATCCACGACCATGCCGAAACATGCCTCTCACGTGCAGGCACTGTGCTTTGCTTTGGTGTTTGTAAGACACAGCCTCTCCTCAAAGCCAAGGTACCTCACGGCGGTGTACTTCAGCTATGGAAGCTGTACTACTCCCTTCCTACTAGCCTTTGCCCTGCTCCTGGCTCCATTCTTCTCGAAGTTGCTGGGAGGAGCTCTTGCGGGGTGCTGAAACTTAGCATCGACGACTTAACAGGCGCTTCGAACTGGGGGCTTGGAAGAAGAGTTGTTTTTGGATTTCAGCTTCCGGGCAGTCGTTTTGGCACCGGTGCTAGATTCTGGAAAGTATGGCAAGCTGCTGAATCAAACTGATCACAGGATTTCGGAAACGTTTGGGCTGCTCCAAGTGGCTTGCCTTCGTCCTCATGGGCCTTCTGATGGCTGTTTGCTACTTGCTGGCGCTGCCCTTCCTGATCGCTTTGGCATGCGCTGTGTTTCGCCAGCCCGTTTGGAAGTAGGAAGCGGATCTTGCTGCATGCGGATGGACAAGTAAAGACTGAATCCGGATCTTAATCTCTGAACTTACGCAATGCGGCCTGCAGCAAGTTCGCATACGATTTCCGCCGTGGCGTTCGGGTTCGCTGCTTTTCGCGTCTGATCCCAAGGACATCTCAACCCCTCAATCCTGCACCTTACACCCCCCAATAAGCACTAAACCCTTCCACGTATGTTACCCTAAACCCTGAACCTTTCCACGTATTTTGTGTGTTGTATGCGCAAAGGAATCCGGAGTCTGCAGCCCAGAGAGACTTCTACCAGGGATCTGCCTTGAACCCTAAGATCGTTGAAGGTATACAACCCCTAAACCCTAAACCTCCTCAACAACGAGATGTACCTTACATGGAAATGGATGATTCAAGGTATTTCTTCAGTTAGTGGGTACACCAACATTAAGATCAATTCCACATTCTGTAATCAAGGGGTGCACATTAAATCATCACGGCCCGAATATGATGATTTTAGTATTCTTCGTTAACTGAGGGGTACTGGGCTCTCTGGGAACAACCTATCTATGAATCTATGACATTTGAAGAGACAGAGCGTTTTGCTCCGCTCAAGCTGGTGTCTGTTCAGGCCAGCAAGCTCGGCAGCAATTCGATGCCTGCAACTTCTCGCGCTATCTACCATGCCATCACTATTGCCATTTCTGCTGCTTGGTCTCTCTCTGAATCTCTCCATCTCCCTCTCTGTCTCTCGACTTTTCTCCGTGCCTCTCTCATCTCTGTATACAGATAGAGACTTTGGTGGAGGCCGCCGACATGCATGGCTGCTACTCAGCCAGTGCAAGATATCTTCTCACGGATGCTATTCAGAGGAGCTGGGTCGGAAAGACTCGGCGACAATTAGGTTGCGCTGGGGGCCCAAGTACCTAATTCATATATTAGAACCCAAGTACCTAAACTACCGGCCCGTGGGATGGATCCATAAGATGCCCAAGATGCCCACCATAATCCCCCCTTCTCCCTACACCCTAAACCCTAAACCCAAACCACGAACCCTTTCAGAACCAACCCTATAAGCCCTAAACCCCAAAACATTTTGTCCTTGGGACCCTGAGAGTGCAGGAAGTGGCAGGCCTGAAGCTCCGGAGAGCTTGAATACGAGTTTTCCATCCTCAAAGGGTCCGAATGTAGGGCACTAAATAATTACCTACACTATTTGGGGGGTTCCTTATGATAGTTATAGTAGAATATGCCCCCCCAAACCCTATTCTAATGATCAAGGCCCCTATATTACGTACTTACTTTAAAGTACCAAAAACTACTTTTTCGTAGGTTCTTATCATAAACCCTAATATAGAATTTAGAGGGACCCTACAAAACAGTACGTCATGGTAGTTGATGGTATATAGTGGAATGTAGGGTTTCTATACTAGGTTTTATGATTATGAGTTGGGAAAGTATCCCGCGTACCAGTACCTAGGACCTTTTGGGATCTGCGAGCTCTGATGCGGCCAGGGTCCACCTGCAAAGTGCCTGTAAAGCTGATGGGCGCATCAAAAGAACAACACCAGCCTAAACCCGAAACCGACACCTGACGATGCAGGTTGGAGCGGGGGGGGCGGGGCCGGGTCGATTCCGTGGACGCTCCAGGCATCTTGTAAGGAGCTCGCGATCGGATCGGGGCGGGGTCTGGGGGGGGGGTTGGTTAATGTTGGGGTTTAGGGCTGGTAGGGTGACCTGAGCCCTAAGTCTCCTACTCCCCTAAACCCTAAACCCTACTATGATTATTATCATTATTACTATTATTATTATCATTAACATTCTGTTTTTAGTGTTATTTCCTTGTATGTGTCCTTAGAGGGGCGGTTGTCTCGGATCCAGGTAGGGTTTAGCACGGAGGGTTTGCCCTCTGTAGGATGAGAGCCTTATTGGACTTATTGGAAGCTATTGGTTTCAGGGGTCTTGGGGTTTAGGGTTTTGTTTAGGAGTTAAGGGTTTATGGGGCTCTGGGCAGTCAACCCAAGCCTAAATTGACACCAAAAATGATTTATGTTTTGAGGGCATGTGCAAGGAAATCATAGTGAGGAGCATTAGAAAGGCCGGTTTGTTTGATGGCCCAGGTCGGCCTAGCGAGAGGCCCTAAACCCTACACCACATGCCCAGAGAATCGCACTTTCGTCGTTTGCAGTCCCTTTATCTTCGTCTGTAAGCATTGATCCTAGCAAGAGCTTAGGGTTTAAGAACCCTAAACCCTAAACCCTACACCCTAAACCCTAAACCCTAAACCGTAACCCCCAAGCAGGCTGGCGGCGGCACGCTCACAAGCTCTGTGGAGAGCCTGTGCTCATCAGCGACGAGAACGTGCGGATCACGAGCCTGCAGTTCAGGGTTTAGGGGTGTAGCTTTGGGGTTTCGGGAGGGTCTAGGCTACCCAAAACCCTCAGCCATCCCAGCTCTCCAAATTTGTTGGTTTTGGGCGTTCGCATGGGGTATCAAAAACTCTCAACTCAAGACACCCGCACAGATAACCCCTGAAGCCTGACACCAAGTTGCTACTCAAGCAGCATTCAGTTTACAGTGTTCGGAGCATTTCGGACACATCACAGTGTCAGGCGCCGAAGGCTGATCTGTTCTTGCCTGAGGCCTGGAACAACACGTAGCCTAACAGTTTGAAAAAGCAATCTTCGGGGGAATATTCTCGTATAGATATAGCAGGGCCTTACAGGGAGAGCAGTGCTGCTCATTTTGCTGGTGTGGTTTCCAAGTTTGGGATGCTTCTTCAAGCTGTCTTCGCTTTTACAAAACCACTCGTGGTTACCCTAGTCCAAATGTGCAGATAGACAGCACGAACTTGTGCAGTACAGAAGCCCATTTGTTAGGCTACAGCGAGTGCTCCAGTGAGGCCTACCTTTCGGATTGGTGTTATGTTGAGTTTAGGTACAGTAGCGCGAGGGTAGCACGACGAAGGAAGGCATGGTTGCTAGACCCACAACTCCCAAAGCCCATAAACCCTAAACCTCTCGCCCACAACTCTCAAAGCCACCAAGGACCTACATCCCAGATATGCCGACGGAGTACTTTCGAGCCCTGAAACGCATCTGTTGTGGTCTTCGAAGTCTGGCCCAGCTTCATCGTTTATGGTTTAGGGGTTTAGGGTTTAGAGTGTCTTCGCTGTCACACAATCCAAGCCGATGCTGAAAGAGTGTCTTCGATTTTTGTTTCTCATGCAGCTTTAGAGGCTTCAGGGTCAGAGTTCAACAGTTGGTTGAGAGTTGCCAAGCTTGGGATGGCTTGGTTCTATAGCTGTCCTACTAGAGTGCTAGACTGCTAGACGGCGTGCTATATGGGGGGAAGTCTATAGTGAACCCTAAACCCTCTAAACCCTAAACCGCGATGAGTTCAGATTCCTGGCTTGGCGGAATAGGTGATTTATAGTCCACAACATTCTATGCTAGCTCGTTGCCAAACATCTCTTGGGATGTCTGTCGTGCCCGCTGACATCCAGAGGCTGGGTTCAAACAGGGGCGTAATCCAGGGGCCTAAATAATTACTAATACTATTTTCGGGGGCTCGTTATTTTAAGTACACTATAATGGGTCCCAAAACCTTGTTCTAATTGTTAGGGCCCC